GTTTGTTTTGAGCTTATGAGCTGGCAAGTTCAAGTAGAACTCATGAGCTCATTAATGAGTTGAGCTTCGGATTTCGGATTCAAATACGAGTGAAAATTTTAGTAAAAGAGTCGAGCTTAACATTAACTTGTTTATTAACAAGTTATGCCCGATTCAAGTAAAACTCGGCTCGACTCATTTGTAGTCATAGTTACGGAGTGAATGCATTGTAGCTGTGGACTAGCATATGAGATTTCGCTTTTACGCCTGTAACTACACGTGTACGTTGTAAGTTCAAACGTATATTGGTCTGATGAGGTCTAGTCTAGCGGATTCATAACTCATTTATTTTAAATAACTGAACCTTAAACTAAACTCTAATATAATTTATAAATTAAATACCCTAATATTTGTATGTCATTGTCATGTATGATACATGTGATTTAGTGATCTTATCTTCATATACTCTATTGGTATCATATTTTTTTAGTTCGTCAATTTTAACTAGTTCATATAATGTAATTTCATAGTAATTAGTATCTAAAAAATCTATGATTCACAATTTATCTTTTAAATCATAAATGAGACATATATGCTTACATATTCAAAGTCTCAAACATCATATAGGGTGAGATATATCATTAACAAATATGTGAATTATCAAAAAAACCAATTTAATTAAAAGATATATATTTATTTTCTCATAAACCGACAATCAAGTTGGCTCGCTAGTCATAATATTGAGACATTTCATGATCTCAAAACAAGACAGTTGACGAGTTGATCAACAAGTTACCGAGTCGAGCTGATTTGGCAAGCTGGTGAACAAGGTCTTACTCAAATTTCTCGTTAATAATCGAGTTAATCTTTTTCCAAATCGAACAATTTTTCCCCCGAGTCGAACACCAACTCGCTCCTGAACAGCTCAAACTCATTAGCATCCTTCCTAAACAACACTTTCGACTAAAATATCATTAGGACAATGGTTGAGATCCTTAGGAATAACCCTGCAATTTCGGTTAAAGAGGTTCCAAGGACTTTGAACGTTAGGGCTGATTGGGTGGCAAGATCGAAAGCTAGATCCACTCTGCCAGAAGACTGGATTAATATTCTTGATCTAATTTCTGATCTCCTATAAGTGTAATCGCTGTTTGGCGCGTTTCGTTCTATGGTGGAATAAAAGTTGGAATTATTGTAAAAAAAAAAAAAAAGACTAAAATATCATAGCATCCAGCCTGTCCAACAGTTTTGGGAATTAGAAGGATTTCTGCTTTCCATCACAAGAACTTGACAACTCTTTCTCCGGAAAAAGGAACGTACGCACGCACGCCAATGATGATATCCTTGAAAGACTAATAATGTGGAGGAGTAAAAAGCTTATACGCGTAGAATACGGCCGGAAGAATACATGCATGCTATTGCTAGCCGCCGGCCAGCCGGGGAAAACAACAAAACCTAGCTAGCAAATGTGTTCATAAACATAACTGCCCATTTCTTGCATGTCTAAAGACTAAAATCTAATCAGCCTCCATCACGGATTTCCTATAATTAGCTTCCCGTTATCCACTAAGCAAAGCAAATGTGAAACGGGGATTATTCTCATCTGCCAATTCTAATATTGTTACCTCACATGTACGGATATAGACTTTTTAATCATCGCATGCAATCATCATTGTCGAAAAAGAACCAGTCGGTACAAGTTACTCTAAGTTATTAGAAGAGATATATGTATCGATTTATATATATGGTGGCGTCTTCGGTGCACTCACTTTTTTGGGTGCATTCAGTGCACTCGCTTCATAATCGCCATTTTAAACATGCGATTATGTCAAAATGATGTCAATCATCACTTATGATGTTATGGACAATAACGCACATGAATTTGCACAAAAACCATTGAAGATTTACTTTAATTTGAAGGATTTAGAGTTTAGAGATTTAGGGTTAGAGTTTACAATTTGGGGTTTAGGGATAGAACTCAAAATTGGAGGTCTAGGGCTTAGGGTAATCTGCTAATTAGTTGTTATCATATGTTATATCATCATATTACACTAATTCTACAAATTAAAATTCAAAATCCCACACCTTAAGACTAGTTTTGAGTAGGGTGCATTGAACACACTCATTTTTGTGAGTGCACCGAAGTAGTCACCTATATATATAAATAGTGATGAAGAAATATTGCTAGAACAAAATCGAAAGAAGTCGACACATAAGAAGTTCTGCACGGTTCGAAAGGATTGACTCGTGGCGAGAAAGAAAACAACAAAACAAATGGAAAAGGAAGAAAGGAAACAATGATGAAGATATAAGAAACAACAATGAGCTAAGTAAGACGAGAAGCCAACTCATGGGGTTTGAAGTTTGCACAGGTATGTCATGTAAGTAAGCAACCTAGTTATTCTGCTAACTTGAAGATTCGTTAGTATATACTAACTAATATCTAAAGTGTATGAACTAATATCAAAGTCTGCTAAATATCTAGATAGCACAGACTAGTACTCAAAACATTACAAACTAATATCCATATAGTAGATACCAACTAATATCCACAATCAACCAACTAGTATTTAATATGGATACTCTTATGGGTTATCTGAATATTCTTATGTGTTATCTGGATACTAATTATGTGTTGTTTAGATACTATTCTGTGTTGTCTAGATATTAGTTTGTGAATTTGGGATAATAGTTGATACATGGTTGATATCAGTTAGCAAATTTTGAATACTAGTCTGTGCTCTCTAGATACTTTAGTACTTGGATATTAGTTCATATATTTTGGATATCAGTTAGTATCTGCTAACGAATCTTCAAGTTAGCAGATTAACTTTCCCCGTAAAGAAGTGATTAAGTATCATACATAGGACATCTCCCAACCACTCGAGTTATTGGACCAGTTGGTTTATGACATGGTATTAGAACTGGTTTGTCCTTGATGTCATGCATTCAAGTCCTCACGACCCCCAATAGTAAAGAACCGATCCATCCCACTAGCTCAAATTATTGGGAGAGACCCATATATAGATCTTAATCACTTCCTTGTATATAAACTTAGCACGACAACCTAGAGTTCCCCTGACTGCATGAATGTAGTGTTTTGGTTTCTTCTCTTATTCCATCTTGCAAGTTGATTGATTTTCCAGTTTACTACTGTGACTTTTATAGCGCTTTAGTATTTGTAGTGTATGAGATTGATTCTTAGGCAGGAAAAGTGAAAGGTGAAACAGAGGGAACAGATTAAAGGCCATATGCATGAAGATATGATTCGTCCAGCAAATTGAAGTCTCAGTTTCATTCTCGTCCGTCCATGCACGTCCTTTCATGGATATATATTAGCCCGGTTGATCTAGTTTTCGGGGCTTCCTACGATCCTTTCCCCTGTTTCTGACATTGTCGGGAAACGCCATCCTCTGCTTTTTCTTCAGATTTCTCCTTCCAATGCAATCGAGTAGAGAGCAGCGTCTACAACGGTTAGTAAATGGTATAAGATCCATTACGTAGATTTCAGTGGTGGGTGTGGGAGTAGTTTAAGACGATGGAAGAGAGCTAGCTAGCTGATAGCACACGTGATTGTGAATTCTGGGGGTTTTGATCCTCCAATCTGGAATATGATTCTCTGCAGCAACAAACAACATATGATACACTGTCGAAGGGAAGACAAGAAAAGATGTTGCTTTTTCTGTTGCATGCCTTAATGTTTCTAGGAATCGAGTCATATCCACGAAACTACATATATATGGTTTATATACAGCATGTGAGGGGGAGATCAGTTGTTACCAAAGACGGCAGTTTTGGAGGAATGCAGACCGCTAAGAACTGAAGCAGCTGGGATGCGCATATTGTCGGGCATTTCCGGTTCTTGAAGATGTTAGATGTATATATAGCTGGTGAATTGGGAATGAACTAATGGCATCCGATGCTCGATCTAAAAAAAAATGTGTGGTATGGTGGTTGATTGTCTCGTTTTTTAATTTCAAAGTTAAGGTTCACTTTTTCTTTGGAAATAGATCGAGCTTATCACTCTACGACCATTCTTTTGTCGCTTTGTACGATCACACATAACGAAATGATAATCAACTATTCGGTACAAAAGATGATGGCTCGTCAGTTATAATTGTACCCCCAAATATGTAGTTGTCTCCTAAGTAGGGTTGTGCAACAGGTTGGTCCGTATTGGACCGCACCAAATCGATGCTTAGCTTAGATCAGACCATAACAAACCAAGTATATTATGGTTCGGTTTTTGATCCCCATGAATTGTGTAAAATGCCGAAGAAAAATGTATTGAATTGATATTTATAGTGGATCAAGTGGGACTTAATGCAATGCTATCCTGGTTCTTGATCCTAAGATATCTTTCTTTATTAAACTGCAGTTGCCATAATTTTGATGCAGTCCGACTGAATCGTTTTACAACCCTACTGCTAAGGAATACCAAATACATCTGGATGGAATACCAAATCTTGACTCTCAAACAACCATTAATATCATCAAGAATTGGCAGGATGATGATCACCAGCACGGTTTGTTTGCCAGCAAGATCGGGCAGCTGCTCACTCGTGACTAACAGGTGGAAGTGAAGCATGTCTTTAGAGAGTGTAACTACTCTGCTGATTTTTTGGCTTCTAAGGGTCACTGTCTTCCTTTTGGCACCCATTATTTCGATGTGTGCGACCCTCACCTGTACCACTGGTTATTGTATGACGTTATGGGTAATACCATGACCCGTTCTATTAATATGATGATCTAGAACATTTTCGCCCTGCTTTTAACCCCAAAAAAAAATGGGAGGTGGAAAACTCTCTAGTGGGCTTATCTGACTCGTGAACTTTCATAAACAAATTTCGGCCCAACTCAGAATATAAAGCATATGGATCCCATGAAAGCCCAGCATGTCACTGGAAAGAATGGGTCATGTGAATGTCAACCGCAAACAGAGGATTATTTGTTTCTTGAGAAAAATGATCTCACCCACAAAAAGAAACATGTTGCATGCATGGTGAACAATAATCTAATTCTGTAATCTTGACTCATGAGGCAAGCTCTTATCACCTTGCGTGATTTCGATACGAGTGTTTGATCGACAGCTCTGTAACAAGTCACTTATCACCTTGCTCGATCACTCGTGGCAAGTGTTTAGTCATTACTGTCAACCTGCAGAAAGGCCATATCTAGTCCCTAACAAAGAACTTACAAGAAAAAACAACAGAACTGAAAGAGGGCAAAAGTCCCTGCCAAACAAGACTCGCCTTTCATTAAACCGCCCACCAGCCACCACCACCCTATGTTCCCCTCATATACATATCTCACACTTGCCAACAAAACCAGCTTACAAAAGGATTAACCATGAAAATCAATCAATGTAAACCAAAATTCTACATCCTTTCAAGCCTACATTGTCCCAAAACATCGTCCTCCGCTAATAGGATCGAGTCATCAATCAGCCGCAGCAGTTTTGATCGCGCGATTGGCATCTGCAATGAAGGTTAGCAAGCAAAATGTACGAGCCGCCGAGAGAGATTTAGACCGGAAGTCCTGCTAGTCACGGCAAGCGAAGACCAACGCTTGCTCTTAACAATTTCCCAGTTTCTTCACTGTAAATTAATGAGCCCACCGGTTGCAGGGATGGAAGCAGCAGCCTGGGCGAACCCGTGCTGCTGCGCCATTATATCGCTGCTGCTCTCCACGGCATTTGCTGATGGTGTGCTGCTTAGCTTTATGGTTTGCTGCAGATGATGAACTAGTGACATGAAGATTTCCACCCTCGTTACATCCCTGTTTGCCTGCCATGCACACACCAAGAACTCATTCAGCCACTTCAGAACAAAACAACTTGTGGAATGGAAGTAACTAGTAGAATTTCCAAAAGAATTACCTCCACCACAAAGTGAGCCCATATCTTATCATTGCGAGCCTCCATGATGCCTTTCAAAATTGTCAACCCCATTCCTCTAATCATTTCAGCTATTTCCAGAAAGAAACCTCGTTCTTCACAAAGCATCTGCCATCAGATGAAAGGAGATGATCAGAAAAGCCAGATAACAGAAAAATGGTGCAAACCTCCATGCATGATCCAAGTCCAAATCAACAATTTACCTCGATAAGCATCTGACGAGGCGGATTCAAATCCTCGACGACAATAGGACACACCATAGACTGTGACCCAACTTCAAATGCCCATGTTGCCCCTCCCTCAAAATTATCCTTTAAGTGTATTCCGCCATCTTTTCTAATAAACTGCATGTTTGAACCACAAATTACCTTAGACTCCCTATTTTCCAGCTATTTGTCATGCATTTCAAGTTAATGATTTACATATAAGCTACAAAAAAAATACCTTTGACTCCGCAGTTTGCTTGAGCTTGTCGGCATGTTTAGTCACACTTTGCAGGAAAAGCATATGCTTAATGGTACGTTCAAGAAGAGCATCAATGCTACACTGTTAATAAATCACATTATCATCCAAAGAAAAGAGTCAAATTTCCATGTTATGCAACAAAACAAAAAAGCAGTAAAAGGATAATAATAACGACGGAAGTAAGTTACCTTGGCTCCATTTGGTACAATGTCCCGCAACTCCTTCACGCGATCTTGAATCATTTGGCGATCTTTGGGCCTAGGCCTAGGATTTTCTCCAGGCTTCAGCCGCTTACGGTTAGTTTTGTTGCTTGATTCCTCATTCTTCTTCGAAAATCCAGTTGTTGATACACTATTGTCCCGCCTCCCACTATGGCTACCAAGTGAACTCAGCTGAGATCCATAAACTGAAGTCGTCTGAGAACAACTTACCATGTCATCCATTGATGTTCTGCCTCTTCCAGGAATGTCAAAAGTCTCCGTTTTCACCGAATCAGGCACACTAACCGGGCCATACATACGAGGCCCACTAGGAACAGAAGGACTGCTTGCCTTTGTCACGGTCGTTCTACTGGAATTGCTATCACCAGAGTTCTGCTTTGCACTAGAGTGAGCCCTAGATACCACAGCTTCCAAAAGATGATCACTATTACCCCTTGCAGGTAAGGTAGTGCTGTAGAAATCAGAACTTCTCTTATCTTCAACCAAAGTTTCAGACTTTTGATGAGGCACATCTGTGATCACATTGTTCCACTCGCCACCCAATAGCTTATTCCGGAAATCCACCCCCAAGATATCGTACAAGTCATCTCCAGACGAACGCTGAGCAGCACATAGATTGGTGAACTCATTGTTCACTGTAATTGTACTTTGACTTCCACTTTGATGCCCAGTTAGTTGGATTGACTGCAGGTTCAAAGCTTGAAACAGATCACTATCCATCTTCTTCTGCATTGTTGCTTGTGATGTAATGCCACCATGATTAAAATTCGTGGCAGGGTTGAATCTGCAATCAGAATCATCTCCAAGCATACCACTGTCACCATTACTTAGTTGATCCACCAGTGTTGTTGAAGCAAGTCTCCCCACATTTGATGAATCGATGGACAAACAAGGAGTTGAAGTGTGTACCTTCCCAGGTACTCCACTAGAATTAAGATTTCCATTCCCCTTTCTTCTCATCAAAGAAAAGCTGTCAGATGGATTCTTGGTATTGCCAAAATGAGATGGGCCACCAGATTCTAGCACTATCTGCCTTGCCGGTAATGGTAACACAGGGTTGTTGGTATCAGAACGACCAGTGGTAGGATGATGAAATCCAGTCATGGAACTGAAATTTGCTGCACGGTGGTGGTTTAACAACGGTTCAGGAGTTGGGGGAATCACTTGAGCTACTCCATCAGTTAGATTTGGACCACAAATTATGGAAGCAGCAGGATACTTTAGATTATCCTGGAATTGTCCAAGTTGGGGATGAGAGGGAACTTTTGAAGATTGCGATGACGAGAAACTTTGCATTTTCAAAGTTTCACTCGGCAAAGAAGTGGGAGTTGGGACCTTCGACAAATGTGGGGAAATAGGCTGTCCGAAAGGAATAGGTGTCTCAATTCTTCCAGTCAAGTCCTTTTCTTCATGGTTATCAGACAGAAGTGCTCCAGGTACGCATCCTAGTCGCAGGATCAAACTCTTAACACTATTCACAAATCCCGAGTTTTCTGAAATCTGGAGAAACAAACGTAGAAACATGAGATACAACTTAGATTGGACTAGCAGTATAGACAGTTGAACAACCTAGCATGGGGAAAGATCTTCTATCGAGTTATATAGTATATAATAAATAAGAAATAAGACTTACAGATAATGAGGAACCAAGCTGCACCACGCCATGAGGACAAATAGGAATAACTGCTATAGTCTGCAAATAAGAAAAGGATTCTCTTAAGGAATAAAAAATACCACAAATTACCAGGAAAAAGTAACAAAACAACTGAAAGTTATCAAGACCTGCATTCCAGCAGAAAACTGGTGGCGTATCTCATTAACAACCTGGAAGGAGACACAAAGATGAACGGAATTACATTTCGAGTACTAGACACTGAGCATTAGCACCAATATATACCACATATAGCCATCCACAGATATTAAATGCCCCATCTTTATTCAGTACCAATTCATGCTTAAAGGAACAACAAAGACAGTGACTTAATATTACCTCCGGAGGGTGAGAGTGTCCTGTGTAATTGTTGGCAAGAATCCAATCATGGTTGCCCGTAAATGCAGCTCGACCCACAATTCTGGTCACCATAAAGCACAATATGTCACATATTCGTAAGAGTTTCACCGAACTGTATTGTATTGAAAAAGGGAAATGTGGATGGAAGTCAGAATAAGAAGAAAACTAAGGCATACCCTTCTCCCACTATGATAACCTGATTATCCATCATCATCTTGTTTACAAGAAAATGCACACCATTACCACCAGTTTGAAGCCCAAGCATTGAGGATTGAGCATCAGTACCACAAAAACCTTCCCATTCTCCAAAGGAAGAGACAGGCTTGTTGGAAGATGACGATACAGAGTCATGGTACGAATCTTCCCATATTAACAACCTGCAGATTGAGAGCAGAAGTGAGAGCCATAATTACATTTTCTTATACTACATTTTCTAAGAGACCTATAAGCAAGACACACAGAACAACTTATTTGCAGAATAATCACCGCTGATGAAACTAGAAATGCAGCCAATTTAGAAATAAAGCACAAAGTGGGAGGTGGATCTAACTACAGGAAATCAATCTAAACAGGGAGGAGGGGTCAGTCAGGCCAAAGTTAAAACCAAATCCACTTTTCCACATAATATTCTTAAAAGACAAAAGGGAATAAAACCATAACACAAAGTTCCAAAGGGGAAAGGCAGAAAAACAAAGAAAGTAAAGAACAAATCTGGTGAAGTAGAAAGAGGAGAAAATTGATAAAGACAACAGTAGCCAAATCAGACTTAGAAACCATCTCTCTCAAAGACCAAAATACCCCAACTAAAGAGACTTGTTTCTTGTTTCTCTCTTATTTATTTTTTTAATTATCATTGAAACATGTTTGTAGGTAGAAGCCAGGCTAGCACAGCCCAGGAGAGGCTGAAAAATTGAGCTACTTGACAAGAGATGATGACTAAACACAGAATATCTCCGTTTGGTCGCTGAGAAAAAAGTCAGAAAGAAAATTATTATGTATTTTCTTCCCCCAGAGAGAGCCAGAGAAGAGGTTTTTGTTTCACATTTTATTATATAACCTAAAGCTACAGTCTTTTCTGCAACATGTCAAAGAGTTGAATCCTTGTTATGTGAATCAGATCTTAGTTTGGTGGCTAAGAAAGCATATGAAAAGATAAAGGCAAGTATGGCTAATACTTTTGAGGTTCTGAGATCCCCATCCACTAAATGGGCGGTAGAGCCAGCCATTTAATTTTATTAACAACCATATCGAAGTACCAAGAAAGGATTAAGAACGCAAAAAGTAATTAAAAAAGGGAGCATAATACCTTATCTAGCTTTCCCTTCAATTTTCTCGGCTACCAAGAAGAAAATTGGAATGATTCTAAACAGAGCCCAAATGGATCATAGTTCAATCAAAACTACAAGCTGCTTAGCCTAGCCAAGTTGAGTGAACAGCAAGTATGAAAAGCAAGCTCTAATTATCATCACAGGACTCATAAAAAGCTGCTTTCTTTCCACTTTTTTTAAGCTTTATTCCATATATACCTCCATTTCCCCAGCAACCAAACAAACCAGATGAAACAAAACTGCAGAAGTAAGAATTAGAAAAAGACCCAACTTTCAAAGCAGCACACTTACTTAGGATTCTGGTAGCCAATCTTCCAAAACACAGCATAAGACCAGTGATTGACGCCGCAGAGCAGCCTCAAGACTTCTCTCAACAGAACACCCATGGCAGCTCAATACAACTACCACCGCAGAATTAGTTTCTTCCCAAAAAAAAACAGAGCAGCTATCAACCTCTAAAATCGGACTACACCACCAGCAACTAGAGTGAATAATTTACTTTGCCAGAATAAAAAGAGACGAACTTTCAGCATTCCCACTTGCTTCTTCTTTCTTCCTCGCTGCTAACTCCCGCGACACGACCCTCTTCCCGCCTGCTTAGTCCTGAGCCCACCGCTCCTTTTCCTCTCTGGATCCAAGTTCCGTACGATCTTTCTCAGGCAACCCATCAGAAAATGGAAGAAGAACTAGAAACCCGAACAACAACACAACCCAGAAAGCTCAGAATCGCCTTCGGAAAGGGGGATACTAACACTCCAGCTGGAAAACAGAGCAAGCCCTAAATTATCCCACAAGCTTCCTGCTTGAAGGTGGCCTTAATCTGCTCCATTTTTTCACTCTCTGGTAAAATTGGGTAATGAGAAGTGGAGGGGGTGGAAGCAGAAGAAAAGGATGGGGGGATTTCAGGGTTTTGGTTTGTTTCGCTGTCTGTATTTCTCTCTTTCGTTCAGCTTGAGAGCTCTCTCTGGCTGCTAAATGCTAAATATTCTGTCTTTCTCCTTTTGATGCAGAGATAGTGAGTGATAGAGAGAGAGAGAGAGAGAGAGAGAGAGAGAGAAGTGATTTTTTAATTTTTTTTTACTTTAAGTTAAAGTGCGCCACAAACGATAAAAGCAGGAGACGACAAACGCAGACCCCCAAAATTAAAACGAAAAATGAAATTTTAATTTAATTTGGAAAGGTGGGGGAGGATAGGTTTTGGAAAAAAGGGCTGGATTTGGGATGAAATTACGACGATATGCCACTGTGAGATGGGGAATTGGTGGGGAGGAGTTATTGTGCTAATTGTAGGGGTGGGCATTGGGTGGGTCGGGTGGATTTTGACCATAAAATACACCCACCCGCGCTTAAACGGATTGATAATTTTTAACCCACCACCCACCCACATTTAGTCTCGGGTTGGGTTGGGCGGATGGTGGATGATGCGGGTGGGTTTGTGGGGTCACCCACATCACAATGTATATAATATAAATGTGTCAACTTGACATGATAATAGGTGAAGAGAATCATCGAGGGAAACAAGAAGTTGAAATAGGGCGAAAAAATGTCAAATTAGTTCTTAAATTGGATAGAAATTCTATTATGAAAGAGTTTTCTACAGATTGAGACGATTATTAGGTGCAAGAAACTAAGAAAAATAATTTCACAAAGGAAAGAGCAGTGATCTAGGCACAAGAATTAGAGAAAAAAGTAAAGGGAAGAAGAGGGGATCTCTATTTGGAAGGTTGACTTTGAGGTTCAAACTCCAGGAACGGTCCGAGTTTATATCTAACGTCTCCACTCTCCTCTCTCTGGCGCCAACGACTTTGATCTTTTTGCTGTTGGGTTGAGCGGGTCACCCACACACTCACCCACAACCCACCCACCACCCGGCGGATGGCTCCCAGCCCAACCCGTCACCCACCCACAGACCCACCCATTTAACGAAATTCGGGTCAAATGCGGGTGGGTCGGCCCAAACCCGCAGATGATCCGCCCGCATGCCCAGCCCTAGCTAATTGTACAAGAGTTAGCACCGTCCTAACCAAGGGAAAAACTACTACTAGTTTGAATTAGTAGTGATTTAACTTAGATGTTGTATTGATTTTATAATAATTTGCAGTGATTTCGTTGTTTTTAGTAGCGTTTTTTGCTAGTTATCACGGTGCTAACCCTTATACCTAATCCCATCCCGGAATTGGTTTGTTGTTTTCTTGCTAGTGCGGGTTGCTGTCCTGCTGACGTCATAAGTATGGATTGACCGTTTTACCCTTCATTTGTTCCTCTCTAATTAACAAAAGACATTTGAAAGATGTTGGGAGTTTTTCGTCACAAATCATGATAATGAGTGACCATAATCATATGCATAAAATCTGCCTCTTAACCAATAGGGGTGATTATACGGTTCAGTCCGGTTAAATTGGCCTGAATTGATTCGGTCCTAGTCCGGTCTTTTTGGGAATATAAGGATCAAACATTTGATTGGATACAGTTCGGACTTGACCTAGTCCGGTCCCAATTCGGTCTTGATTTAAGATTGAACTTATGGGGATTTGAGTGGCCTGAGGACACAAAGAGTGAGGAGTTGGTTAAGTTTTGGGTGTAAGGCTATCTTATCCGATTTTTTATCTGGTCCCAAACGGTTTTTTACCTCAAATCTAAGCCCGAAGATTGAATTGTTTGCTATCCGGTTCTGGTCCCGTCTCAGTCCAAATTATACGATCCGGTTTCGGGTAAAACCAAACAGCTCGGACCAAATAGCCAGCCCTATTAACCAAAGTTTTATCAAGTTCATGCTTATGGCAAGTCTTATAGATAGATCACAATTCTAAGTTTAGTTGTTTGATAACTACAAATTTATGGCAAAAGGTTCGTTTTGTACATACCCTTTTGATTTTTAGATGTAATACTCATTCTGACTTCTCGTTGAGTCGTTGCGTACATACCCTTTTGATTTCTAGCTGTAATACTCGTTCTGACTTCTCATTGAGTCATTTCTGTTATGAGAGTTTTCATTTTTTTTAGGCCTCATAATGTCTATTTCCTCTCTTGAATGAGTATATACCATACAGTGGTCAAAAGGAAAGTTGAGTGCATCCTCTATGGACATTGATCGATCCGTGTAGATACATACGAGATCGTTTCTCGTTGATTTTTTGTGCTTGAGTGGATAGAGATTCACTATCTTATGTTCGAGAGAATGTCGAACAAGTGCTTGTATATAGTGTCATAAACCAGAGACAAATGACACGTCTGTTGACACGTTAGCCACGATCTTTGGGGGATATATATCTGAACCTTATGGTTTTAGGTATGTGCTCTTTGGTCTTGAAAGGCTTATTGAAAAGCTATGCATCAATGTTGTCATAAGTAGAGTAAGTAATGCACTCTTCCACCCAAAAAAAAAAAGGATTGATTGAGTACACTCACATAATAGAATTGGGGACGTGGATGGTTCAAATAAGAGGGGATGATGGAAAATGGAGCAATATTATTGTTCTCTAGAGGGCATGGAATGATGGAATGAGTGAGTGTCCATGATGACTCATAGAAAGTGAAGGGATGGAGAAAAAAAATTCAAAGGACAAATCATCATCAATTAAATATTTGACTCACTGTTAATTTTGGTTATGAATGCATCTTTTTCATGGATTGGATATTCCAGCAAGGAAAGACACAAACAAGTGATTTGTTTAGGAGTCTTAATCCTCTCCTTTTCTTGATAAGAAATTGAGCCGTTGAACTGTTGGTTTACAAGGTATTGGATTGTATAAGTTACTGTAAACAGAACCCATTGAAATTGGATCAAATTGGATCTAATCGATTGTGATTTCTATATAAAATTTCATTATTATCATTTTTATTAGATTTAGTTTTGTTATAACTAAGGGAGTGAGGGTTCAAATTGTATCTCGGCTACACACTAATTCCACAAAATAATAATATAAAGGGGATATAAATATCATTTTATTTCAATGCAATTTTATGTATTTTGGTCGGATATTTTTTCGTTATACTTGATAAGTATGAAGCAACTCGTACAATAATAGACTCGAACTAACAAGGATTATTTTGTGTGATGGTTGTGTGGGATGAGAGTCGATTGCCACTCCTTTTCATGAGAGATTTAACCGTTTTAGGGGTCATTTGACAATAACTAGAGCTAATTTATCTCATGATTTTTATATTACATGATATCTCATGTTTCATTGTTTTTGTTCCATTTTGGAACATATGTCAATATATTAACACATAATGTAATTTAATAAGTCTTGGCACCACGATAGTATTGCTAATAGTCCCCCATACCAAATGCCATAATAATTTAAGAACCATAACAAAACAAAAAAGAATACAAGTATGTTTAAGTTTATCAATGAAAACTACAACCTGAAATAGTACTAATGCTTCAAAACGAGCACATTGTCTGTTGATCAGAAGACAAAGATTCCCAGAAGTTGAGAAGTCATTTTTTCCCTCTTATTCTTCTCCTTCTTTCCTTTTCCTTACATGTCCATGGTGGAATTCGAGTGGAGCAGTAATTTCTTCAAGGAAATTATCATTCTCCAGCTTTTTCATCATTCTCATATGTCACTTTGGTCAATTACACAAGTGATCATCAATGGACTTTGGAGTGACAAACAGATTGGTAGCTGAACTTCAATTAGTTAGCAAACTTACCATTGAGGTTTTAGATAACTAACACAATACTCGTTCTGGACATCTCTATCATTTTTTTTTTTAACAAACTGTCCAATTAATAATAAAACAACCACATAAATACCCACATATTAGATGACCTTGAAAAGTTAATTTCACTTATACAACCTAAATGAAACAGGTTACTTAGCCCTAATTCAATTATTTTTTTAATAATGGATGCAACTGCACCCTATCTTTCATTCAAAATCAACCGGGGTTCGGAAATCGTCTGACAGTCATACATGGTCCAATAATAAAGTAGCGGATCGGAACTCGCAACCTCATGGAAGCCAAATGGTAGAACATGGCCCCTACTAGCTAAATAATCAGCACAACAATCAATTACCCTCTCGATAAATATGCTCAATAGTAACCTCCCAGGGTCTCGACAAAAAGACCCCTAAATCGATCAAGGATCGCTCCGCAATGGTGGTTCACGGACTGCGAGGTTCTTGAATGAGCTGGACAGCACACTGGCCAGGAGTCGAGCTGCACTCGAACACGTCTATGTCCTTGCTCCCACACCACCTGAAGACCTTCCACAACGCCCCTAAACTCAGCCTGGTATCTAATTAGAGGGTCAATGGGTGCAACTCGCTTATGCTACTCACATGTGCTTGGGCGACGTTTGATCTGGGACCACTTTTCTCCCCGCAATGAGTGAGTCCACAAAACACAACGAGGCTCCGTGTTTCTTTTCCTCAAT